TATATATATATATAGATAGATAGATAGATAGATAGATAGATAGATAGATAGATAGATAGATATGTGGTATAAATATTTATTAATGTGCATACATTCTTATATTTAGACATATATTTATCCTTATAATTTTCACATTCCTGTTATATTTGGCTTGCATCCTATGTCTCTTGTATTTTGCACACTACTGTTGTTTGTTAAGCTTGCACACATGTGTTATAACAATAAAAGTGATTTGATTTTATCTCTTTTAGTGGGTTAGCTGGCATAGTAGCTTTCTATTAATACCAAATTATCAATCCTTGTCCATGTATGCGTTGTTCCATTGGTCACCTCAAAACCTAATGTGTAGATAACTTAGATTTGTATAGCACCTTTCAAGAAAGGAATCAACAATTTTTTAATTTTTCTTTTCTTTTTTTCTTTACACACAGGTCTTTTATCTTTAATGAAAAGGACCAAGAGTGTTGGACAGCAGCGGTAAACTCCAAAACAGACAGTGTCTTTCGCAGAAGCACCATAGCTTTATATGAAAGAAATGGTAACGATCCTCATTTTTCTCTATGATTAATACAAACACTAAAGCCTATGTTTTCATGCTGTCCTTTCTGTCGGCTACAGTGACCAGTCTTTTCTAGTTTACATGTTTTTTGTTTCCAATGTTTTTTGTTGACATTGTAGTTAATGTTTAGCATATGTGTCATGATGAGTGAGGTACTGTGTCTATAAACAGCTTAGTTTAGTTTTGTAAAACATCACAGAACTCGAATCAGATAAATTATTTACTATAGGAAATGTGTGATAAACATCAATAAATCTATTTCTAGTCTTTTCTTTCCTTTTCTTTTAGCATATCTTCTGGAGTGTGTAAATGGAATAGGAAGAAATTACAGGGGAACAAAGTCCAGAACAAACTCAGGAAAGATCTGTCAAAGATGGGACTCAAGCTACCCACACAGGCCAAAGTATGTGTTTGCATTTGATTTTGCATCATCATTTCATATCCTTTTATGTCTTAGTGAAAGTTTTTCGAAATGTTTCTGCTGCAGTTTCAAGCCGCAGAGCCACCCACAAGCAGATTTGGAGTCTAACTTCTGCAGAAACCCTGATGGGGACAGCAATGGACTGTGGTGTTACACTACTGATCCTAACACCCGCTGGGAGTACTGCAACGTACCCAGCTGCTTTGGTAAGCTGTAATGCATGGCCATGATATTTGAGATAAATCAGTGTTTTCCTTCACAGAGGAATGGCTGATCTGAAATAATGAGAATTACAGAGGAAAATCTCCACCACTGAAAACAGCTTCACCTGAAAGTTAAACACTGCTGTAATTTAATTTTGTTTCATAAAACATCACAGAACTTGCACCGGATAAATAATTTATATTATGAAATTTGTGATAAACATCAATAAATCTATTTCTAGTGATTTTCTTTTCTTTTCTTTTCTAGCATATCTTCTGGAGTGTGTAAATGGAATAGGAAGAGATTACAGAGGAACAAAGTCCAGAACAAACTCAGGAAAGATCTGTCAAAGATGGGACTCAAGCTACCCACACAGGCCAAAGTATGTGTTTGCATTTGATTTTGCATCATCATTTCATATCCTTTTATGTCTTAGTGAAAGTTTTTCGAAATGTTTCTGCTGCAGTTTCAAGCCGCAGAGCCACCCACAAGCAGATTTGGAGTCTAACTTCTGCAGAAACCCTGATGGGGACAGCAATGGACTGTGGTGTTACACTACTGATCCTAACACCCGCTGGGAGTACTGCAACGTACCCAGCTGCTTTGGTAAGCTGTAATGCATGGCCATGATATTTGAGATAAATCAGTGTTTTCCTTCACAGAGGAATGGCTGATCTGAAATAATGAGAATTACAGAGGAAAATCTCCACCACTGAAAACAGCTTCACCTGAAAGTTAAACACTGCTGTAATTTAATTTAGTTTCATAAAACATCACAGAACTTGCACCGGATAAATAATTTATATTATGAAATTTGTGATAAACATCAATAAATCTATTTCTAGTGATTTTCTTTTCTTTTCTTTTCTAGCACATCTTCTGGAGTGTGTAAATGGAATAGGAAGAGATTACAGAGGAACAAAGTCCAGAACAAACTCAGGAAAGATCTGTCAAAGATGGGACTCAAGCTACCCACACAGGCCAAAGTATGTGTTTGCATTTGATTTTACATCATCACTTCATATCCTTTTATGCCTTTGTTAAAACGTTTCATAATGTTTCTGCTGCAGGTTCATGCCGCAGAGCCACCCACAAGCAGATCTGGAGTCCAACTTCTGCAGAAACCCTGATGGGGACAGCAATGGACCGTGGTGTTACACTACTGATCCTAACACCCGCTGGGAGCACTGCAACGTACCCAGCTGCTTTGGTAAGATTCATACATGTTATTGTGTTTGTTTTGTTTTGTTCAGCTGACATACATGTCTAATTGTCCTCTAGCAGCCATTTCTCTTTCAACAATTGCCATTTGTTTTGGTATTTAATGTAGCTAATATGTGAAATATAGGCACTACACAATATTCTGAAAAACTGAACTTAAAAGGCTGCAAGGCCAGATACCACTGGGTAATCTGGGCGTTGGCGTCCTTCATGCGGTGGAGCCACTGCAGCGGCTTCCAGCTGATGTACCAACCGGTCGGTCGACTCCCCCTACCTGCTGGGACAAAACGGCCCTCTGTTTGAGGCATCTGTCTGCAGGAGAAAAGGGAGAGAGAGATTAAGTGTGTATAGCAGCAGCTCCCCACAGAGAGCCTGTTTCACCCACACAAACGCTGCCTGGCACTGCCCTGTCCACTGGACCAGATCTGGGGCACTCTTTCGGGTGATATCGATCAAGGGGCTGGTCAGGTCCGCAAACCCTGGCACAAATTGGCCATAATAGCCGGCCAGCCCCAGGAACCGTCTCACCTCCATTTTGGTCTAGGGGCGCAGGCAGGATGCGATCGCTGCTGTCTTCTCCACCTGAGGACGAACCTGCCAGCCCCCCAAGTGGTACCCCACATACTTCTACCTCCCTCCGTCCAACCGCACTCTTCTTCGGGTTGGCTGTGAGCCCCGCATGCCTCAGGAACTCCAGGACCGCGGCCACCCGCTGCACATGCTTCGTCCAGGTGTCCCTGAAGATGATAACATCATCCAAGTGGGCGGCAGCATTCGCAGTGTGTGGTCTCAGCACCCAGTCCATGAGGAGCTGGAAGGTACTGGTACAACCCGTATGGAGTAGAGAAAGCCGTCTTTTCCCTGGACTCTCCAGAAAAGGGAATTTGCCAGTAGCCCTCAGTCAAATCCAGCGTCGTGAAGAAACAGGCATTGCCTAACCGGTCCAGGAGCTCGTCGACCCGGGGCATGGGGTAAGCATCAAACTGTGACACCTCATTCACCTTGCAATAGTCAACACAGAACCATATAGACCCGTCTTTTGTCACCACAAGAACGATGGGGCTACATCATGATTCTTCTATTACTCCCAGCTTTAGCATCTAAGCCAATTACCTCTGAACAGTTTTTATGTTCGGGTAGCCTGTAGGGCCATGAACACACCATATGCCAGGCTGCACCAGGCTGTTGCAATGCAGCATCAACTGCTCTCTGGGCCTGTGTGAGATAGATATCACAATGAAGGGAGGCAGGAGTAGTAGAATTTGGTACCTCCGGCCCCAACTCATCTCTTTCCTTAACCAGGCTCACCAGAGAAGCGGTTTTAGCAGTCCAACACGTACTGAATTTCATTTTTTGCGGGGCTCGAACTTTTCTCCTGCCTGCGGCTTCCTGCCGTACAGTAATTCAAAGGTAAAAAATCCCGTGGAGGCCTGGGGAACCCCCCGCACTGCAAACAACAGAGGGTCTAACTAGCGATCCCAATTGTGTTCAACCTCATGAATGAACTTACGAATCATGGACTTCAAAGTCTTATTCAGCCGCTCCACGTCAGTCTGAGGGTGGTAGATGCTGATCCAAACGGATTTAATGCCCTGTAATTCATACAGCTCTTTGAGTATGCGAGACAAGAACGACGTGCCCTGGTCAGTCAGTATTTCTTTCGGAATACAAACTCGGGAGATGACCTGAAACAGTGCCTGAGCCAGGCTCTTTACAGAAATGGTGCGCAGCGGCACTGCTTCCGGGTATCACG